TGCCGTGGTGCTCGGGGTAGTACGACTGGCCGATCACGTCGAACTCGACATCGTGACTGAGGACCAAGTCGAAGAACCGGACCGATCGCCCGTTGTCGCCGCCCAGCGCCGGGTGCACCATGATCTTGATGCCCGGGTCAGCTGCGCGGACGGCTTCGCTGCCGCGCCGCAAGAGGGCGCCGAACGTCTCGGGCGAATCCTTGAGACGCCCTTGCGGCCAGAGAAACCCGTTGTGGATCTCATTGCCGATCTGGACCATCTCGGGCGTCACCCCTTCCGCTTCGAACCTCTTTAAGACGCTGCTGGTGTACTCGTAGACCTTGTCCGCCAGCTCGTCGTCGCTGATACCCTTCCACGCGACGGGCGTAAACTGCTTGCCGGGGTCGGCCCAGGTGTCGCTGTAGTGGAAGTCCAGCAGGAGCTTCATCCCCGCCTTCTTAACGCGCTTCGCCATCGCCAGGGTCGGCTCGAGACCGCAGTACCCCTGCCGCGAGTACCCGTTTTCCGCCGTGGGGTCCACGAACAGCCGGAGTCGAATCCAGTTGAATCTGTGGTCCGCCAGGATTGTTAGAACATCCTTCTCAACGCCCTGGTCGGAGAAGACCGTCCCGCGGTCCTCCTGCGATGGCGCCCATGAGATGTCGGCTCCGATAAGCGGACGAATGTATTGTGGGTCGCGACCGACAACCGCCGGCTCCTCTGACGGTGCGGTTGTGGGTTCAGCCTGTGCGCACTGAATTAGCGCCGCGAGGGCAACCACCAGCAGAGCGGTCGCTCTGCGCAGGACTAGCATCATCACGCGTCCCCTGTTGATTGAAGAAGAGTTACTTGACCGCTTGGGCGTCCGGCTCGGACTCCCATTGCTGAGTAGCACTGGTGAGCTGTTGCAGTGAGTCGATGAACTCCCGCGCCTCCCGATCGCTGAACGGCGCCCGCAGCGCCGCCTGTAGCGGCGCCAAGACCCCTGTCAGCTTGTTGTAGGTGCGACGCCCCTTTTCGGTCAGGACTACCCTGCGGGCGCGACGATCGGTGTCGTGAGGCTTGCGGGCGACGAGGCCCATGCCTTCCATCAGCACAAGCATCGCCCGCACGGTGTTGGGGTCTGACGACGCCCGGAGCGTGAGCGCGCTCTGGGTGACGCCGTCCTCGTCGGCCAGCAGCGAGAGCAGAACGAACTGGTCGGCCGTCATCTGGTGGCTTGCCAGTAGGGCCTGCGTCTTGCGGTGCATCGTGGCGTACGCGCGTCGCAGCGCGATGGCAATCTCGTGTCCGGATGGCGTCAACGGATCGTCTGGGGGAGAATTTTCTGGACAGTACGTGTGCGTATTGTTTAGGTTGGGGGCAGCCTTGTCAAACTTTGCGTACGACCGTGTCCCACCGCTGGCCGCCAACGGGCGGCGGCCGCCCCACAAGTTGATCGCCTGTAGGCCGGAAGTCGTTCGACGCTTCGCGTGCCCCCACCGATGGATTGATTCAGAACGGTTAGCGATTGCTGTGAGCGGAGAACGCAGCAAGCAACGGAACACAGGGGGGGCTGAGGGGTTTGTTGGATAGGTTCTGTGCTGTTGCGAGCGGGTTGGCTTCGCGGGAGTGCGGGCCTCGAATCGGTTGACACGGCGGCGGATCGCCGGGGTCCTGGGTTCGGTCACGGATGGTTGCGAACGGTTGTTGGGGCGTCGGGCGTTGTCGATGGGGCGAGAGTGTGTCGCATGGGTTGGATGAATGGGGGCTGACTCGAACGGCCCCTCGGCGGGGAGCGAACGCCGCATCGAGTGGGTTGTTCATTGGCCCTGGGCGCGAGTGAAGGATGGAACAGGCATGCTAAGAGTAACTTCGATTGCAACTTGTGGGCTGTGTCTCGCCGCGTGCTGCGGCGCCGCCCCAGCGGATACGCCGTCGCCCCGCCAGGAGTACAACTTCAACCACGGTTGGCGGATGCACGCGGGCGAGGCGCCGGGCGCGGGGTCGCCGGGCTTCGACGACGCCGACTGGCCGAAGGTCACGCTCCCCCGGGCGTGGAACGAGGACGACGCGTTTGCCGTGGACATCTACCGCCACTCGACCGGGGTGGCCTGGTACCGTAAGCGGTTTGTGCTGCCCGAGGGCGCCGGCGACGGGAAGGTGTTCCTGGAGTTTGAGGGGGTGCGTCAGGGGGCGAGGGTGTACGTGAACGGAGAGGAAGCCGGCCGCCACCACAACGGCGCCATGGCCTTCGGCATCGACATCACCGGCCTCGTGCGGCCGGCGCCGGCCGAGAACGTGGTGGCGGTGTGGACCGACAACGATTGGCGCTACCGCGACGACACCGGGCAGCGGTTCCAGTGGGTCGACCGCAACTTCAACGCCAACTACGGCGGGGTCACGAAGAACGTCACCCTGCACGTCACCGACCGGCTCTACCAGACGCTGCCGCTGTACTCGAACCTCAAGACGGTGGGCGTGTACGTGTACGCCGACCAGTTCGACATCGCCGGTCGCAGCGCCACGGTGCACGCCGAGTCCGAAGTCAAGAACGAGCGGGACTCGGACGTCACGGTCGGCTACCAGGTCACCGTGGAGGACGCCCGAGGAGAGGTCGTGGCGCGTTTCTCAGGCGGCCAAGCAACGATCGACCCGGGCGAGTCCGCCACGGTCTCGGCCTCCGAGCGGCTTTCCAACTTGGAGTTCTGGTCGTGGGGGTATGGCTACCTTTACACCATCAAGACCACGCTGCTGGTCGACGGCAGCCCGGTGGACACCGTGCAGACCCGCACGGGCTTCCGGAAGACCGACGCGCGGGACGGCGTGTTGCTGCTCAACGACCGGGTGCTGCAGGTCAAGGGCTACGCTCAGCGGTCCAGCAACGAGTGGCCGGCGTTGGGGCTGCCGAGCGCGCCGTGGCTGTCGGACTTCTCCAACCGGATGATGATTGAGAGCAACGCCAACACGGTCCGCTGGATGCACATCACCCCCTCCAAGCAGGATGTTGAGTCCTGCGACCGGGTTGGGCTGATGATGCTGATGCCGGCGGGAGACGCCGAGGGCGATGTCCGCGGCCGCCGCTGGGAGCAGCGGATGGAACTGATGCGGGACGCGATCATCTACAACCGCAACAACCCTTCGGTCGTGTTCATCGAGGGCGGGAACGAGATGATCAGCGAAGCGCACATGAAGGAGGTCAAGGCGATCCGTGACCGCTTCGACCCGCACGGCGGGCGGCTGGCCGGCAGCCGCGAGATGCTCGACAGTCAAGCCGCGGAGTGGGGCGGCGAGATGCTCTACATCAACAAGAGCGCGGGCATCCCGCTGTTCGCCACCGAGTACAACCGCGATGAGGGGCTGCGCAAGTACTGGGACGAGTGGTCTCCACCATACCACAAGGACGGCGACGGCCCGCCGTACAAGGGGCAGCCCGCGCCGGCCTACAACCGCAACCAGGACTCTTTTGCCGTGGAAGACGTCGTGCGCTGGCACGACTACTGGGAGGCCCGCCCAGGCACGGGCGACCGTGTTTCCTCCGGCGGATTGAACATCATCTTCTCCGACTCCAACACCCACATGCGCGGCGCCGAGAACTATCGTCGTTCCGGCGAGGTGGACCCGATGCGGATACCGAAGGACGCCTTCTTCGCCCACCGGGTGATGTGGGACGGCTGGGTCGACGCCGATCGCCACGGGCTGCACATCGTCGGCCACTGGAGCTACGCCCCGGAGACCGTGAAGCCGGTCTACGTCGTGTCGACCGCCGACCAGGTCGAGCTGTTCCTCAACGGCGAGTCGCTCGGCAGGGGCACGCAGTCGCACCGCTTCCTGTTCACCTTTCCGGACGTCGCGTGGGAAGCCGGTTCGCTCCGGGCGGTGGGGTACGACAGCGAAGGCCGGGAGCTGTGCGACGCTGAGCTAACCACTCCGGGCGCCGCGCGGGCGTTGCGTCTGACGCACTGGGAAGACCCGTCGGGGTTCAGCGCCGACGGCGCCGATCTCGTGCTGGTTCAGGTCGAGGTTGTCGACGCCAACGGGCGGCGGTGCCCCACCGCGATGAACACAGTCGCGTTCGAGCTGGAGGGGCCAGCCGAGTGGCGCGGCGGCATTGCCCAGGGGCGCGAGGACAACTACGTGCTGGCGGAGGAGTTGCCGGTGGAGGGCGGCGTGAACCGCGTGCTGCTCCGCTCGACCGGCCGCAGCGGGTCGATCCGTCTGTTGGCCCGGTCGGAGGGCCTTGAGTCGGCCGAGCTGAGACTCGAGTCCCGGCCGGTCGCGGTCTCCGAGGGGCTTTCTCTCGACAAGCCGTGGGAGGGCCTCCCGTCCCACCTCGCCAACGGCCCCACACCGCCCGGCACGTCCGTGACGCCCACCCGGCGGACCGTCCAGGTCGCGGCCACGAGCGCCGGGACCAACGCCGAGCAGGCTCAGCGTTCTGTGGACGACAACGAGCTGACCAACTGGAGCAGCGGGGGCGACCGGAACAACGCCTGGATCACCTACCATTTTGAAAAGCCTCAGACGGTGAACGAGGTCTGTCTGAAGCTCGACCGCTGGCGGACGACCAGCTACCCGCTGCGCGTGCTCGTCGACGGAACTGCCGTTTGGAGTGGAGACACCCCGCGTTCGCTGGGCTACGTCACGCTGTCGTTCGACCCGGTGCGTGGCGAGTCGCTTACGATCGCGATGGAGGGCGTCACCAGCATCAAGGATGAGTTCGGGCAGATCGTCGAGGTTACGGGCGCCGTCGACCAGTCGTCGCGTCGGCGGGGGCGGGGGCTCGCGGTCGTCGAGGCCGAGATCTACGGCCCATTGGGCGGCGACTGAGCATTGGTTCTAGCACATGTCTGGTTTATCACGTTCCCCGGACGGGGCTTGGCTCACTACCAACACTGATTGATTGTGGCCCAGCAGCGGCGCGGTGCTGTCTCCCCAGAATCTTCTCCAACGCAGTGGTGTGGTTCGCGGAATGGATTGCGAACATAAACCGGAATGAGGTCGCTTAAGCGTGGAAAGCCAAGGTCCCTGGTTGAGCGAAGATGTTTGTTGGTGCGTCGGTGGTGTGCATGGCGTCCAATAGCTTTGTCTCGGATGACGGGTCGCCGTCAAGTGTCGGCTCTGTTTCGACCAGCGGGCTTCCCCATGACACATTCGTCGGCGGCGACGGAACCGCTGATTTCCTCGACATCACCGCTACGGGAACCTACTTGCTGGTGAACCTGCACGTGCAGCACGACGCGGGGCCCGTTGGCATTGCGACTAACCACGGCCGTAGCTTCTCGATCGACCTGGTGCAGGCAAGCGGCGACTCGACAGACTTCGCAGGCGGCGCGGCGAGCACGGGTTTCGTTGATGCGAGATTTGGGACGGTGGCGTTCGAAAGCGTATCGGGCACGGTGACTGTTGTAGTGCCTGAGGCGTCGAGGATCATTCTGTTGGCAGTTGCCGCCGGAACGCTGCTGTCGCCGCGACGACTCGAGGCCGCGGGCTGAGTCATCGGTGTGAGATCCGCGTCTATTGTTTCGTGACGGCGGATGTCAGATCGCCAGGGGCTGAGTGCCATCCGGCGTCTTCACGATTCGCTCCGACTGATCCGTGGGGTAGACTACCCCAGCGTCAGCCGGAACCCCTGCAAATGCCTGGAAAATATTGCGTCGAAATGGGGTGTGGTGTAGCATGCTTTTCGTTAGCAAGTTCTTGTGCTTGTACGGTTTAGCACGCTAACTCTGACCGCCTGGGGGTCAAAAGGTCGCAGGTTCGAATCCTGTCGGCCCGACTTAACGTAACTCATTGCTGAATCGCTTGTTGCGATACCTGCCGGTCTCCGGCAGTGCGGCGTTTCTCTGACAGCCAAAACGGTACATACCGTTTTGGGTTATTGGGAGCCCTGCACATGCCCAGATTGCCCCGCTCTCTTCCTAAGTACCGCAAGCATCGGGCCAGCGGTCAGGCCCTTGTCACCCTCGATGGCCGAGACTTCTACCTCGGGCCCCACGGCACCCGCACGAGCCGCGTCGAGTATGACCGCCTCATCGCCGAATGGCTCGCCAGTGGGCGGCGGCTGCCGGTCGAGGATGGGGGGCTCCCGACGTTGGCCGAGGTGATGGTCGCGTACTACCGCCACGCCCGCACGTACTATTGTAAGGACGGCGTCCCGAGCAGCGAGCTGGCGGCAATCAAGTGTGCGCTGCGGTTCGTCGACGACCTCTACCGTGAGCAGCCGGCGGACGAATTCGGCCCGCTGGCGCTCAAGGCTGTGCGGGGGAGAATGGTCGAATCTGGTCAGGCACGGTCAACCGTCAATCAAAACGTCGGTCGGGTGGTGCGGATGTTCGTCTGGGCGGCCAGCGAACAGCTAATTCCTGCGGAGGTCGCCAACGCACTCAAGTCCGTTCCCGGCCTGCGCCGGGGGCGGACCGAGGCCCGCGAGCCCGAACCGGTGCAGCCGGTGGACGACGCGGTGATCGAGCAAACGCTACCTCACCTGCCGGCGATTGTCGCCGATATGGTGCGGCTTCAGCGGCTCACCGGGATGCGTCCGGGCGAGGTTTGCTCAATCCGTCCCGCGGACATCGACCGCACCCAAGATGTCTGGATCTACCGACCCGCCAGTCACAAGACCGAGCATCGGGGGCGGGATCGCTGCGTCTACATTGACGCGCGCGGCCAGGAAGTGCTGCGGCCGTACCTGCTACGGACCGATGACGCCTACTGCTTCTCGCCATCTGAGAGTGAGAAGAGGCGGCGCGATGAGCAACACGCCGGCCGCAGCACGCCTCTAAGCTGCGGCAACCGTCCTGGCGCAAGCAGGCGGCGCTCCCCGGCTAGAGAGGCGGGTGATCGCTACACGACCAGCAGCTACGCACGTGCGGTCCGCCGGGCCTGTGAAAAGGCGTTTCCGACGGTTAGTGTGCATTGTCCTGGCGGCGAGAAGGCGCCCCAACGCTGGTCTCCGAATCAGGTTCGCCACACGGCTGCAACGGAGATTCGCCGAGAGTTTGGCCTGGAAGCGGCCCAGGTGTCGCTTGGTCACGCCGCCGCGGACGTCACCCAGGTCTACGCCGAGCGTGACGCCAGTAAAGCGATCGAAGTAGCCCGACGAATTGGGTAGTCCGATTCTGCTAAGACCCCCGAGACGAGAGACCAAACAGATGAGCGCCAAGCTAGAGTCGGCAGAGGATGCTCGGCGAGAGACGCAATTAGAACGAGATCGGCAAGCGATGTTGCAGGAACCCGCGGCCGTGGTCTATCGGCAGGTACGCGCCGGGCTCGGCGTCAGCGGGCTGCTTAGGCAAATGGTCGAGACAATCGATGCCCTCTACGAGCTTGCACCAGATTATGTGTTCGTGTTCGGCGACGATAATCAGCTGCTTGGCCTTGCGGTACGGTCGGCGGCAACCGGGGACGTTCAAGTAGCCGCAGTGGACGAGATCCAGCGTCTGCGTGAGGAGGTGGCGAAGTCCGCTGGACTCGGTGATGCGGGGCCCGCGACAGAAAAGCGTGTGGTCGACTCGCTGGCAGCTAAGAAAGGTGTTGAGCTGCCGAGAGTTATCTCAGTCCCTGATGTGGAGCGGGTGGGTCACGAAACTCGCTACTCCTTGGCTGGGGGAGACTCACCAGACGCCACGCGCGCAAGCGACGCCGCTGACGCCGATCGATTGATCCACGCGCTCGACGTGGTCCTCGGCGAACTTGAGCACCACTGCTATGATGCCCAGGAGGGGTTTGAGATCCTTGACGGGGGATTTCTGGCGGCTCTCGACTCGCAATCGGAGGGATCTTGGAGGAGTCGGGTCCGGCGCGAGCTTCTTGATCGCTTGCAGGTCTTGCCCACGAGCGACCCACAGGGGACTTCTCAGCGGCTGACGCTTCCCATTCGCGACGGTTGCGACTGCTGCTGGCAAGCGACCTCAGGCCGCACTGGACCGCCTGTGCGAGCTTGGCAGAGCGGTTTGAGTGGGAGATGTACTCGGTCCGGAGTGACGGCCCCGTGCCGGGGGGGCACGCAGCCGGTTGGCGGCTTTCAAGCACTCGACCCGCCCGCGGAATCCATGCCGGACGGTCCCGTCGGAGTGGACGGCTGGTGTCACATGGGCCGGGTATATACCGGGTTGAGCCCCAAACCGCACCGGTGTGTTTCCGCTCTCTTCGCAGCGAAGGGCCGATCGGTTGCGTTCTCAGAGTTGGCCGGACCCGTTCTCCAAAACGAAGACAGCACAGTCACCAAGAGCCAAGCCAGCGGGTGGCAGCGCGCCGCGAATAAGTTCTTTTCAACGAACAGCTTGCCGTATCACTTCAAGATCACGGGATGGACAATGCATCTCGTGGAGAAAAGTTGAGAAATCTTGCGATGCGTCAGAGCTTTGACGTCTGTTTAACGTCCGTTTGACGTCCTCAGGCGCCCAAGATTGCAACCAGTTGTTAAGCACTGAGTTGGATCGATAGGAGCCGAGAGAATGGCAGACACAGAACCGCTACTTGCCGGGCCGGAAGCGGTCCTAGCAGTTGCAGGCAAGCGCATTCACTACGCCACCTACTACCGGTGGACCCAGCGAGGGCTGCTGACGGCCGACGGGTGCGTCTTGAGTTCACCAAGGCGGGCAGCGACCGCCTTACCAGCGTTGGGGCGGTTCGGCGGTTCTTCGCCGAGTTGACCGCCGGCGAGGCGCCATCGCACACAGTCACCTCCGGAAGCGATCAGCACAGTCGTCACACGAGGGCAATTTCCGAACTCGGCGATTTAGGGATCTAAGAGATTGCCGGCCACGGCGCCCGTGTCATCTTGGCCGGTTGCACTGTTGAACGTTACGAGTCTCGCCACCCTGGTGGCCCGGTTACGCCGCGTCGGCGCTTCCCCGGTCCCAAAAAGCGCCGAGTAATAAATGCACGCGGGTTAGAAGTTCCCCGCAGTGAGAGTCGAGGAGCAGCCAAACGGAAGTTTTTACCGCAACGCGGGTTTTTTATCCAGGCAACGGGTGGGTGCTTGATTCCACCAAGACGGCGACGCCCTGGTCGGTATGCGACAAGAACAAAACAGCCGGTATTAAGCTGCTTGAGCCCACAATCGCGACAACGCGTTTTTGGGTCCCGGCCTCTGAAAAGCCCTGAGACTCGATGATTGAGGCAGCGACAGCTACGCCTATAGTCGCTAGGGATGCCGTTGTGCACTGACCGGTTTGCACTGACGAGACCAGCACCATCTGACGGTGGAAGCTAACAGACGTTCGAGGCAGACGGGTTAGTCTGGCACGCTGCTGAGCCTTCTCAAGGGTTTCGGACGCCCGAGTATGTGACCGGAACCGCAATTGTTAGACGCCGAGTCGTCGGGCGGATTGACGACGACATGAATAATCGAGGAGATGAATTATGGGTCCGACGCTCTCTGACGCTCTCGCCGAAGAACCTGGGATTCTAAGCCGAGCTTGCAGCAAACCCGCGATTGCCAATCAACTACAACAGCTGGCCAAGGTCGCAGGGCGGGCGGCCGTGATAGGCATACTGCAGCAATGGGCACGGCAGAGCCTTGATGCAGTTCTAGATTCGGGGGTCGACTACCAATGCGGCTCGCTCATAGCCGGTGTGCTTGACCAACTTGCGGACGCGGATGATCTGGATCGCATCGCCGATCTGGCAGTTGTGCATTGCGAGTTAGCGGTTACGCGCTGTGACGAAACACCGAGGGTTTGAGACCGCGGAAAGGCTCGTCGCCAGCAGTGTGCCCTGGTGGGCAACCAACTCGCCCGGCGGGCCCTTCAACACTCTCGAGGAAGTTGGCTCTGTGTGCCCAGCCGATGGGCTAGCGTGTGCGCCACCAGTGGGTGTGTGGTGCGTCGGGGTCATGCCGCAGGAAAAAGACCCTGCAAAATGCGGCCTCGCTAGCTAGCGGACGACGGGAAGCTCGGTCAGCGACGCTTTGGTTGCGATCGTTCGAACCGCTGACATTGTTTTCTCCAGTGGGAGGGTCTCGATCCAGACCTCGCGCCAGCCGCCCGCCTGTGCGCTCGACGTCAGCTGTCGGTATTCATCGGTGAGCGGATCGGGGAGGCGTCGGTACTCGTAGCAGATCCGACCGTTGGCGTAACACTGCACGATATCGGTCACGCCTCCGTCGCGTCGTGGGATGCTGCCGGTGACGTTCCAGTGGGTGTTCCCCATGGCGAACTGCGTACGCAGGAGTGGGAATCCCTCGAGGAACCCGATGAACGCGTGCACGAGATCGTACCTGGCTGGAACCGCGGCGCACTCAATTGCCGCGCTCTTGAGGTATTCCAACCGCGACGGTGTGAGTGAAGCGGTATGGCCGGAGCGAGATGCTGACAGCCGCGGGTGGTCGGGCGTCAACGGGACCGACCCTCCCCCCTGGCAAAGTGTCCTCGAAATGTAGTCGTGGTAGATCGCCACGGACCCTTCAGACGATTCTGAAAGGGAGCCCGCGGACAAGTATCCTCCGAGCACTTCGCCAATCTGAGACCAGAAAACAATGGCGACCTCTGGACCGAACTCCTGTAGTTGCGCGAAGTCCCCGGGGCGGCCGGGCAGCAAAAAGATCAGCCTGACCTCCTTGTTGGCGTCCTTGCGGGACTCTGGGGCGGTAGCACGCTTGCTGGCTGAGCCGGTGCGTTTTTTTTGTAAGACCGCGACAAAACTTAAGGGACTCGCGGTGCTTGGGGGGTGCAATCAGTGTGCGCGAGTCTGCGACGCATTAGTAGCGATGAGGATCCACCACGGCTTGACGGAGGCTCAATCACTACCATCGAACGGCCGGGTGATGCAGCGGCCCCGTCTCCGGACGAGCAGTAAAGGCACTACCTGAGGCATGTTTGTGGAAGCAGTGGATGCGCCGGTCGTCGAATCATCGGGCGGGTGGAATCACCAACGTTGTGATTGAGCGCTCCGGACTCAAAGTCTGAGTTAGCAGGTCGCCCAAGGCCAGGGAGTATCGAATGGGAAAATCCTGCTCGTTGAGTACCACGACGACCAACGTGCCGTCGATATTGCGGAAGGCGCTAGTGAGGAGCTCGCTCCCGGTGTTCGCGCACAAGACCCGTGTGGCTCCCGGGTGAATGAAACGGCTGAAGTGCCCCAAGTAATAGTAGGAACTGTTGTACACAAGCCGGTCATTGCGGATGTCGGCCATGATGGGGGCGCTGCAGAAGTTCCCGACGTGGTTCGGGCCGCCTCCCGTGTTGAGCAAGATGTTCCAGTCGATCCAGCCGCAAGCACCACTGTTCAGGTCGTTGATGATCGACCGGGCGTAGCGTTCGCCCGCCGACCAATCGCCGATGCTATGTATGCCCTCCAGGCAGCCCTCGGTAAACAGCAACTTCTTTTCCGGGTAGAAGTCCGTCAGCATCTGCGCGTGGTGGTACTCGTCAGAAACGTACCAGTGGAAGCCCGCCCCCCAGACGTACTTTGACGCTTCGGGGTCGTCGAACACAGCCTTAGCGCGGTCGAACAGCAGGTCTCGGTTGTGATCCCAGACAAGCAGCCGGACGTGAGCGAGGTCAGCGTTGTGGAGCGTGGGGCCCAGGAAGTCTCGGACGAAGTCCCGCTCCTCCTCGGCGGTATAGATGCATGACTCCCAACGCTGCACCGCCGCCGGCTCGTTCTGCACGGTGAGTCCCCAGATGTCGATGCCTTCTTGCCTGTACTCCTCGATGTAGCGGCAATAGTACCGCGCCCAGGCGTCACGGAACTCGGGTTTGAGCTTGCCCCCGTCGGTCATCAGGCCGTTGGTCTTCATCCACGCCGGCGGGCTCCAAGGGGAGGCAAGCAGCTTGAACCCACGCCCTCGCGTGGCAAGCTGCGCGGCCTTGATGAGCGGTATCAGGTGCTCGCGGTCGTGATCGATGCTGAAGTGTTCTAGGTCAACGTCCCCGGGTACGTCGGTGTAGGCGTAATTGCCAACAGAGAAGTCGCAGCTGTTGATGTGGGTGCGGCAAAGACTGTAGCCGTGCCCGGTGTCCGGGTCGAAGTAGGCCCGCAGGACCTCCCGCCGCCTGGCGGGCGAGAGCTGGCGGAGAACGATGCCTGCGGACTCGGTAAACGCCCCGCCGAAGCCTTCGATTTTCTGAAACGCCCTCGCCGGGTCGACAGCGATCGTGACCGCAT